AGAGTTTAATAATTTCATCCTTTCCATGGTCAGGAATATTCTGCACAAAGGATATACCTCTCAAACCAAGGGCTGCCAGAGAACTTATTACTGATGTATCTTCCTGTGGAAATCTAACATTAAGTTGAGCAACTATTTTTTGAATAAAGTCACTTCTTATGTTACTCAAATGTGTTTGCTTATTTTTACTTACTGAGATGATGTGATCTCTCAAGTCAAGTCCATTCTCAGTCAATGCTGTGTTAAACAGTTGAATGTAGTGACCATTATTCTGCTTTAAGTTTTCAAGCGGTAAGATTGTTGACTGAATAAGTGGTTGTACTAAAGAAATATCAATGTCTTGTTTCTGAAAGCTGAGACTCAGTTTGGTCAGGATTGCCATTATGTCAGTTACACCTACAAATTCAAACTGGGTTAGCTGATAATGAATCCCTTTTGAAGTTTCACCTTTCTCAGCTTGCTTTTCTTGCTCAAAATAAGTAACTTAGGAACCACATATGTGAAATATTGCCTCAATGGCTGAATAAAATGCAAACCAGCGTACACTGAATTTCTTGATTTTTAGCTTTCAATTTTAGACAGATTTGCAGTTCTCTGTGAGGAATGTTTAAAATGGTAGAAAATATTTGTCAAAGTTTCCTTGTACTTTTTTAGATATGGAATACTCACTGCTGCTTGACTTGTGCATAAAGCTAGCTTGTGTGCCATACAGTGAATGTTAAAAGTAAGTGGCTAATCACTTGAAAGCCTGGCACTAACACCAGACTTTTTACCAGTCATAACTGCCGCTCCATCTGAGCCAAAAAAAATTACATTACTGACATCCATACCCTTTTCACTTACCACAGATTTCAATGATTGGTAATCAGTTTCAGCATCACCCTCATCAATAGTAACATTCTCAATAAAATGAGTTTCAGGCTGAAAGTCAGTGCATTTAGGAATAAACCTAGCCAATATGACCAACTCTTTCTGAACTGAAACATCATCACTTTCATCACACATTAGAGAAATGGCGCGGGCTGAAGATAGTTTTTGTTTCATATCATTTTCTATAACATGAATTAAAGCATCTTGAAATTCTTCAGCAGCCCTCTCGGACTCATAGCTTGCGTTATCTCCAGAATGCAAAGTCAAAATATCTGGGCAACCTTGTAGTTTTAGAAGTCTTAAAAGAGAACTATACTTCAATGTTGCAATTTTTTCTTTACACATCCAGTAAACTGTACGCAAAGCACTAATAATTGAGCTTTTCTTTTTGTTAAATGCAGACTTAAAAGATGCTTGAAAAACTGACTGACCACGTTGGTCAATAAGGGCATTCTGATGGTCAGAAGAAGACATGTGTCGCTCAAGAGTTGAAGTTCTAAAGTTAACAAAACTTGTAACAAACGGATTGTTTTTCCTCATTTGAATGCATAACGAACATTGCATATATTTTTATCGTCATCAAAAATAAGCCAATTTTTAAATCGGTCATCTTTGAGCCATTTTGCTTGAAATTCACGCCTTTTAGACGATTCAGAAGGGCCAGGGTCGGACTGGGATGTACATAGACCACTATCAACATTTTTCGTCGGCTCTTTATCAGGCGACTTCGATTTTTTTGCATTTGAATTCGGTAAAAACAAGTCGGAAATTGTTTACGATGCGAGGGCATATATTTACCACTCTTGAAAATCAATACTAGCACAGTCAACATGTGCGTGAATAATGAGCGTAAAGCGTAAAAATAAACACTCAGAAAGTTCCTTAAATACCGAAATGGTATTTTCTAAGCGAATGCGTCCGTCGGGCCCACAGTTAAATTTGTTTTTGTTTTAAACCGGCAGTCATTTTAGGGGGCCAATGGGGCAATGGCGCGCTCTAGATTGAACACTGTATAGTAAACAATTTTAAACCGTAACACTTGTAACATCTATGTAACCCTATTTATTTTGATCTCTGACCATTTTTGTTACAAGTGTTATAGCACAAACCATAAAATGATAAAAAAACGGAATTAATGCAACGCGAAGCGACGCTCGACAAAGCGAAGCAACACTCGACAACGCGAAGTGACATTTCCAAAAATTCGCCCTTTTTTACCGCAACATCTTAAGGCAACAGTGCGATACGTCGTTTTACATTGTCGCGTTGTCAAGCGTCGCTTCGCATTGTCGCGATGTCACTTCGCATTGTCATTGTGTTGACCCTTAGGCGCGACGGACGACATTATATGGCATCGTACAATATTGAAACTACGCTCATTGGATATCCGATGTTTCGTTATCTTGCTGGAAGCTTCCTCACATGAAAGGATCTGTAGTCCCTGGCGTAGAGGGCATAAAGGTTTTATAATATCAATTAAATCCTTATTTTTCTTTACAACATAAAATCATAACACAAATATGTATAACGTTTCAATTTTTTTTTTGAGGAAATAATAAATTTTAAGTAAAAATAAAATGGTATTCAATAGTTTAGTCTTACGAATAAATTTTGCTATTTATTACATACTATATTATTGTAAATAAATCAAACAGACTACCTATTCCATGTCCATAGTAATCGTTCACAATATAAGATTTAATTAATTCTATCATGCTTCGCAATATTCCTCTATCAAATAGATAGAACAGTCAAGTGCATCTTTACACGATATATGCACAGCATAAACAAGGCATTAGTACACGTCATTTGACGTCAGATATGACGTCAACAATCTAAATGACGTCAGGAAAATAACTTTTACTCTCTGTGTATTCAACATATTTTTATCATTTATCTTTTTAATTAGCATGTTAGAATGTAAATGTATATTAATATTTCGGTCTTCGTGATAACATTCCTACATTGTCCTATGCACTAGTATTTAAGCATTGTTCAGCAATACAGTCATAATTGATATCTATTTCCAAAATAATGTAAAGCGACGCCAATGTTTGTATAACAAAGTTAAAGAAAAAAGGAATTTGATACAACACAAAAGGTGGGAATACAAATAACACGTTTCAAGATGCTTCCTATTATTAGCCCATTAGCCCATTAATAGATAGATCAATCGAATGCATAATAACATGATATCTATCACATAACCAACTCCGTTACATTATAAGCGCGGAAATGTAAAATGATTCTTTTTCACTGTTAATAGTCTTTATTTGTGTGATTATTAGAATACTTTATATTGTATTTGTGTAGGTTCATTGGCGAATGAATGGCGCAAGTGTAAAATAAAGTAAGGAACTTCCGGTTGACAAACAAACTTCTCGGTTTACAGTATAAACTGAAGACAACCGAAAATCTTAAAGAGAATATCAGCCAAAAAATCAGTCTGGTATCAATTAAGATCTTGTATATCTTCATCTCCAGATAGATATGAGGAAAGAATTAAGTACATGTATATCCGCGACATACATCTAGAGCAAGATTAGCGACTTGTAAGCATAATGCATATAAGAAGAACAATTAGCAAACTTTATACTCACATATAAAGAACATTTATTCACTACAAACAACAATAAACAACATTTTATCAACTTTAATTTGTGCTATTATGTCTTCTAAGATAATCAGAAATATGTTGTTAAATTGAATGACAGAAATTTATTAACAATGACAAATGCCCGTTTCTTAGAATGGACAAAAATAAGATTTGTGGCGATGTATACGAGTAAACCGGCATTCCCGGCATAGGTATATAAAACGTAAGCACTTGGTTGTTGCTTGCAATGATGCGATACTGGTTATCGAATCCATTATCTCCTAGGGCCTGCGGCCTTTGGGCCATTATGTACATCTTCGGGTCATTGGCTTATGGCGAGTAAAAAAACAAGTATTAAGCTTTAGATAATTATCGGCCGTGCATATAGTTACTAAATTTATTTAACACGTTTAATAGATGTGTATTATTCAGCCTTACATACGGCACAAGGAAGTGATGCTTGACATTTGCGATCGAACATCACTTTGCTGAAAAGTCATCATATGACCTTATCACCCATCTTAAATTGTAAAGCCAAATGATGAACCAACTTGTATCACGTTAGCTAGGGTTTTACATGCTCATTAGAAAAAAAGATCGAATTTGTCCAAACTTTATTCAGTAGATAGTACATGTATATACACATTAAAGAAAGCGAGCACATAACAGTTATCAATCCAATTACAAAACACTATTTGTATCTTTTGTTCTTCAAAACAAATCTAATATTTTAAAAATGAAAGTTTGTAAAAGAAATATCTCAAGGCATCAATATCTGAAATAAGAATGTACATCTTACAAATATAGCAATAAAATATTTTTTTATTCACACAGAAACAATAGGTTTTCGCAATAATAAAAAAATGTCAACATTAGCGATCGGCCCTGAATCGCTAAAAAGTCATCATATGACCTTATCACCCATCACAAATTGTAAGCCAAATGATGAAACAACTTGTATCATGTTAGTTAGCGTTTTACATGCTAATTGAAGAAAAGCATCGGAATACATGTACATGTAGGTATTTTGTCCAAACTTTATTCAGTAGATAGTACATGTATATACATAATTATTATAGAGAAAGCGGGCATTTAACAGATACAAATCCGATTACAAAAAAAAAAATGTAACTTTTGTTCTTCAAATCAAATCTAATATTTCAAAAAATGAAAGTTTGAAAAAAAAATATCTCAAGGCATTGATATCCGAAATAAGAATGTACCTCTTCGATATAGAGCAATAAAATATTTCTTCGATATAGAGCAATAAAATATTTTCAACAGACATGTATCTTTTTTATGTAATAGCAATTTTCAAATTTAAGTAAATATAAGGAAACTTTAAGTATAATAATTGTTAATTACGCGCAATTATTTAGTACATATTTTTATAATAATATTACTTTTAAATATAATATTTAGGAATAATGATGAAATAAAACACATATTTTAGTTTTTTGTTGTTGATGTTACTTAAAACAATTTTTTTTCATGTAAGGGGAATTCTTTTAAATTGTAATGACAAAACAAAAATATAAAATAAACTGAGAATTCAAGTTTCTCTATAAATACAGAATTTGTTTTCATCTTGTTGTATGACAATTATGATATTTTTCTTGTGTCTACTGCCACACATGAAATATTCACTTTCATACCACTCGATGAAAACAAATCCTGTATTTTTAGAAAAAGCTTGATTATCCTCTATATATACAGTGGAACCATATTTTGATAGCAACATTAAAGAACCCTTTCATGTTGACATTTACTTGAAATATACACAATGAATACATTCAATGGCATTGGCTAAATCATATACAACATGATTATTACAGGTTACAAAGCATGATTAAATGGTACATTTTGTTTCATTATTACTCAGCATTGTGAAAGCATAGAAGTTGCATTAAATAAATTATGATAACTGCATAAGATGCTATTGGAAATTTATCTTACCTAACCAAACAGCAATATCTTTGGTGTTAAAAAAAACAAATGTTTCAAACCATACTATACATTTGGAACATAAAGTCGATCAAAAAGTGTCCATTCCGTTTAAGACATCTACATCATAATCAAGAAGTCTTTGTCAAAGGTGATTTTGATATATCTTTTCAGCATGTGTCTAAACACATTTGTTCAATGACAGTTGATAATAAGAATCAATAATACATGTATAAAGAACAGCACAGGCATAGTTATCGCCAGTTTAAAAATCTGCTATTGCTTTTAAAGCAAATGCTTGCATGCCTCAGCATGTTGTCTTTACAAACTCGTATATATATAATTAAATTCAACCAAGAAAATCTACAGATTTTTTTGTAACTTTATGAGTTGCTTTGTCAACAACTTTTACTTCAATCTCTGTGCCTCCAAATAAAAATGTTGTTCCAAATTTTCTTAATCTGCCTAAAGACGTGTCGGGAATAGGAATACAGATTGAACCAATTTTGCTGCAATCTGGATCCGTAACGAAAACAGGATTTGGTTTTGAAGAAGCATATATACCAAAATCAATTGATGTTTGTGTGTCATAAACAGGATTTGAAATATGTTCTGCTTGCTCTTCGCCAAGCTTTACAGACTGACCTACCTTAACATGAATTATGAAATTATCAAAGCATCTCATGTCACCGTTATCGTCAAGTGCTGTGTTTAACTTCGGATGAGTGCAGTTAGCCGTGGTGAGATGAGTAGATTCTACGCCGTAAGTAAATTTACAAACTCTCTCGGCAATAGTTGTAGGGTTGTGACCAAATATAACAGCTCCTTTTAAGACAGCCAAACCAGCCTCTTCTGGAATGATGATCTTCATGTCTGGAAAATGTTCTTGAATATGTTCCTGCAGCATTGGAGACTCAGAAAAGCCACCAACCATAACTATTGCCGAGCAACTGGTAACTCGTGGTTCGGCCAGTAGTTTTTCCACGTGATCGAGTATACTCCGGAGTGGGATTTCGAAGAAACCTTTCATAACATCAGCGTCCATCCTAATTTTGTCTCCAGTTAGAACCAACTTTTCTCTATACCTTGATTTTGCGATACACTCTTTCATAGGTCTACCACTTTTTACGTTTGCTATATCAACAAGTGTAATTGGAATTCTCATAGTGATTTTTGCATTCTTACTTGGAGCTATGTCTCTCTTTTTTATTTCAAAATCTCTGAACATATCTATGTAATCTTCCATGTGATCTTCTCTGAATTTTGTTATCCCTCTCGGACCTTTTAGTGAAGGACAAATACTATTATTTGTCTGTATAATATTAATAATATATATTATATAATTTGAATCATATATATTGCAAGTTTTTGCTTTATGCACTGAATGTACCATATTTACAGATATGACCCGACAGATCCGTATATCAAACAAATATGACTCAGAATGACTACTAATCTTATGTCATTACATAATTGCTGAACATATAATTTAAAGGCACATTATGTCTCGGAAACGAAAACAAATTAACTTCTTCATATAAAACAAACGTTTAAATAATGATTCAGAACTCGTTAAATGCTTACCACTTGAAGGAAGTAATGTGAAAGTGAATTTATTTGACTTAAAACAAAGTTTTATTTTTACTTTAAAGCAAAGTATTAAATCACTTTAGCTGCTTTAATTGACAAAATGGTAATAGAAGCAAAAGATGTACGTATTTGGGCAATGGGTACCTTTTTGGAAATTTTAAGAAGTTACCAAAAAATAAGAACTTTTGAGATTTTAAATATATAAACATAACTATGGCATAATGGACTTATGTCCACTTAAGGTTTTTGTTTGGTGCCTTTATGGTGCCCTACTTGGGAGTGCCGGGGGCCTGCGTCCTGTAAACGTTACCTATATCTTGTTGATCATTATTCTAGTTTTTTCTTTTAATGAAATATGTCATTATACTTTAATTTTACATTTGTTTGGTACTAATGGATTGGAAAAACATGTCTGATTTACCAGATCTTTGTAAAGTCGTTGCTTAGTTAGATACAAGTTTCATATTACGGTATTCTGACATCAACCTAACATTATCTAACGTAGGTTCGAACCCCGACAGGGACTTTTTATTCTTTCAGGTGAGGAATTTATATAGCTAGCTAACAAAACCTCGATGGTTCTACTCAGGTGAACGTTTGTGCCTTGAACATTGCACGGACGTCAACTGAGGTCTTCCTCCACCAGAAAAGGTGGAACGTTGCAATATGACCTACAGTGTCGGAATGACGTAAAAAACCCTTTCAAACAACATTTTAAAGTCAAAATGAATTCATACAAAAGTTATATCCACGTGTATCAACACAGATAAACTAACACGGTACTCACCAATTATCTCTGACAGAAAGGCTTCAAAAGCTTCATCGACCTTGGTTCCACCCCTTGCTCCACCACTTGCCTTGTGAAGTTCTTTAAGATTCACGTTTCTCAATACTTCATGAATGGTAATGTCTATTGTTCCGCCTTCAACATTTAAAAATAAAGATATGGACAATAAGTAAAGACGGCATTTAATTAAGCAACCCCAAACACATGGCCACAGGAAAGAAATTGAGCAGGACGCCAAACAGGACAGGGTGACGGGCATTAAACGGAAGGGACGCCAACACAAAAAATATGAAATCAAAGAAACCTACAAGTTTACTAAAGATAGAAATTAATAACAAGACCTACAAAAGGACAAGGAGGGGAAGGGCCAGAAGGACGGGATTGGGGCAATTGAAAAAAAAATACAAATCTAGAGGAAAAGGGAAATACTTGTTTTTTTCAGTACTTTTATCTTGTTTAGCAGCACTTTTCATGCCTAAAATTTTCAATAAAGATCTTCTATGTTTATGTATTCTGTTATATAAATTAGCAACTCATTTTATGACCGGAACGTTGTTTAAACGTGACATTAGGCTCATTTTTCACTGTCAAGTTGAGTACAATTAGTAATATGTTTCAAACGGTTGACTTTTGTAATTGTTATTGGCCAATAAATGATAATAAAAGATCTTAAAGATAAAATATAAAAAAACTACTCAATGGAACATTTTCCTGCTGTGGTTCATCACTACATTACATAGCACTCGATTACATACCACAGACCCTAAGATCCAGGGTGCGCATGGTGAAATTACTTCAAAATAATGCACCTGCACACAGATCAGCCTCGTATCAAGCTTATTTAGAGGAGCGAGGAATTAAGGTTTCGCTACATCCTGCTTATAGCCAAGACCTATGTCCTTGCGACTGTTGGTTAAATCCATACGTAAAATCTTGCCTTAGCGGCGCCGATTCGAAACTCATGTATACCAGATTAGTGTATACAAAAGTATACGCCCCCCCCCCCCCCCCCCCAAAAAAAAAAAAAGAAAAAGAAAAAAAAATGCTTTTGCGGAACGAATTATGAGGCTGGAAAATGTATATAGGTCCATGTTGAATATTTTGAAGGACTCTACTAATCATTTTTCACAGGTATGACTCCTGTATAAAAACACGCTGCCCGTGCTACTAATTGAAATATGTTCCTCCTATTTAGCTATATACACAAAAACATCAAACAGACAAAATGTTTGTATCGTAAACGGAATTATATTACTGTTGTTATGTCACTACCTGGATGTTGAAATATAATGTAGATTCTAAGACACGTTTTACACAATATTTTCACCATATTTTAGCTTCATTTTACCATGTAATAAAAGGACAGAACTCTTTACTTCCAAAAGCATACTACAACATCAATTTTTAAAACATTTATAAACATGTGTAATGAATATCTATACAATATTATAAATTTTTAGCGCCAGCATCCAGTACCAGATACTTCTTCCCTGCTTGAAACTTAGCCAATGACACTTTGTCCCGGCCTAGACTTTTCTCAACCGGAAGATGTCGGCAAAACAAAGAAGCTGTCTCAGGTTCTAGTGCAATAGTCAGTCCCTCCTTCGATATACCAGCCTTAAAATTGAACCTCTACTTTTATCAAATACTTAGTATAAGCGGCTTCATTGCTAATGGTCAGCAACCTATACATTATTCAACCATAAAACATGTTATTTGGTGCTCTGTACACAGTGAATTTGAAGTGACCTACATGTAGCAGTAGAAAACAGAACTTACTATCTACACTTTTTTAATTTGAATATCTCGGACTGATCAATGAATATCATGCTGACTAAATTTTATCTTGAAAATGAAAATACATAAAGAATTATTAAGTAAAATGAAAAAAAATCTAAATACTTCTTCAGCGGCCTCTCTCATAAACTGCTTGGCGGCATCATTCCAAATAGCTGGAACAGTCAATACCCAATGAATGTCACTGTTTCTTATTCCATCATCAGCAATGCGTTTTTTTGACATTTCCATCAGGTCATCTTTAAGGTATTTGATTGACAAAGCAAACACAGTCTTTGCTTTTAGTTTTTTACCACTTGCATCTTCAATCATAATGTTTCGTTCTATGCCCTAGTAAAAAACAACATACATATATTTAAAAAGCTATATTTTGGTAATCACCATAATTGCCATTTCGGAATATAAGGGGCAACACCATCCTCAATATTGCCCCGAAGATCGGAAGTCTGGTAGCAGGGAAACACTATACATGTTGCTAAGGAAGCAGTTGAAGAACTCCTAACATAGCTCATGAAGCGAAAGTGAAAACGAATTAAAATATAAGGTGATGAAGTGGTAAATAAGGAAGTTTGTCAGAAAATAATTGCCGCCGATGTATACTTTGCGGAAGCGCTTTGTACTGTACCTAAGATAATTTTAAGTTCTATGTCTCTTTGTATGTTTGACATTTTATAGTTTTGTATGTAGAGGTATTTTCAAACTTTACTTTTTGCTTTAGAATTTACCATAATATACGAAATTAAACAGTGTAAACATTTTGACTAAACGCTTTTAGCATAGTGGTAAAATGGCACATTTAAATTACTGTTCAGTTTTGTATAACACTTCAGGGATTAAGTGATTGTGAACTCACTATTCTTCCAAAAAGGCTCATCTTGAATCGTTTGAAAAAGAACCATTGCTTGTGATGTTTATCTAGAGCCAGCTCCCCATACTTGCTCTCAGCCTCATATCCGAAAGAGTCCAACGTTTTACCGTCCGGATTAATTAGAACGCATGTTGGCCCTATGATAAAAATAACAAATAATGTATTAAGAAATTCAATAAGATGTTTTCTTATCCGAACGATCGATTGAAATTTATTATGAATATAGACAACAAACTGTAGAATAGCACTCATTTATTTAAGTGACATTATACCAATCCAATGTCAATAGTAGGTGTACAGGTAAAAGTCAAAATAACTGACAATTTTGCCAATATTGATTTCAATTTTATTGTCGAATTCATGTGCATGATCAATAATCCACGTTACCTTCAGAAAACGCTATAAATATAATGTTTAGCTGATACAAAAGTTGTGGCAGCCATTTTAATTAAGGCAATTGTTAAATTTTCTCCTACACGTGTTTTCAATTTAAGATCAAATAAAAAAATGAGCATAATGTCACGTTAACAATCTATTTTGAACTATAATTATTTGTTCTTAATGTGCAGATCGATCTATATACTCTGAGAACTCATTGATTCAACTACATTTAAAGTATTTAAATGCTATTGGGATCCAATCATATTAATTTTTATTAAAGAAAACTATCGTTGAATATGGTTATTTATTTTTGTACTTTATCTTTATACCTTTTTGTGACACAAGTTGACCTCCAGTCCAATTTTTTGCAGATATTTTTGTAGGATCTCGTTCGAATTCGTGTTTAAAGGAAAACACCCATCCCGAGTACGTTGTCCCAAAGTCAATAGCCGCAACAAGCAAGGAACTCATCTTTACGTAAGTCTAAGTGAATAGAAATACAATTTACTATATTGTGTATAAAAGTATACTAGCAGGGTTCTATCTATAACCGCTAATTTTGGCAATAGTAGTTCGACTGGACAACGTGAAAACTAATGATGAGACTATAGTGACATCGCAAACATTCTCTAGTCGAACGCTTAACATATGGACAATTTATCTGTTTCAAAAGATGTTCTCGATCACCGAAACAAGACATTTGCAGAAAATCGACTACAGCCAAACAACAGTGACCGAACATTGCCTTAGTGAAATACAAGTAACGAAGATAACCTTATCAAAATAGTTCACGAAGTTTTACACGTTTACTTTCCTTTCTCAGTACCCAGCCACGGTGTTCTCTTTAAAATATTCATAGATATAGCAAGCCATTTGCTCTAGTTACTTGTCCTGTTATCATTTTTATCGGAATATCCGTCCCTCGGTCACCCGCCCATGGGCGGTAACTCGGCAAGCCTCGTTACCGCCCAATGGGCGGATCACCTCGGGACGGATATTCCGATCCGAACCGCAAAATATGACAGATATTATTAATCAAAATAGTTCACGTTTTCTTTCCTTTCTCAGTACCCAGCCACGGTGTTCTCTTTAAAATATTTGTAGATAGCAAGCCATTGGCTCTAGTGATTTGTCCTGTTATCATTTTTTTATCGCTTTCATGGATGGAGCTACCTTTTATAAGGATGTTTTCTTTATAAGATTGTTTATATAAATTTGATTTTTGCTTGGCGAATTTCAATGTAATTTACATTCTTATATTTTTATTAATCATGTGTATTATCTTCATGCCAAGATTTTTACATGCTTTTGGTCTAGCTTTCTTTGCGTTTGATTAAAGCGAATTGATCTAAAATGAAAAGTCTGTAACAATATAAACAATGATCTTGATAGTATATCGTACTAAATATAACTACGAAAGTATTATTTATGAATGTTGTTGGCAAATGTGAGATACATGGTCTGATATTACATATATTCATATAGCAAATAATACATTGTTCTAGAATAGAATATTATTATTCATCAATTTTAAATGTTAATACTAAATCACATTTTTCAAAATTTATCAAGCAATAATTTTTAAGAATATTGAAATGATATATTTCTATTGCTTTTAATAATATTTGAATTAAAACAATAAAGACCAATCCACTTTGCAAATATACTTTACATAATTCTTAAATTATCCTAGCAAATTGCACTTTTTCGACTGCACATTTGCTGCACATCTTTATGACTTTAATATGTATTGTTTATTAATTAAAATAAGTAAAAAGATAATGAGCAACGTATCACTTTGTATAATAATTTTGAGTATATACTAAACACTATTAACTGTCCTGAAAACAGTGTATATTTTAGATTCAGTACATCAGTGAAAAGAAATTCAATAAAGATATTCAACAACCTTTAACGAGGAATGTCTTTGTTCATTGTGACTTCATAATTATACACGTTACTGGCTCATTGATTTTTATGAAAGGTAATTTCTTTATCCGATCGATAACGTTTTACAAAAGCCGTAAATAAATTCTAAATCTTTACATTCTTATATTTACCCAGCAGACCAATGAAAGAAAAGAAAAACTGTTAACATATAATGTTTAATTTTCGGTATCATGTGTTTTATGTTTTGTGTTTAATGTAATTTTATATTATGTGTTCATTTTTTAAAGTAATACAATTTTTTAAATTTTTAAACATATAACTTTGTTCATTTTAAGTCGCAAAATAATTACCACGTAGCAATAAAATCGGTTTTCTTGAATGATTTATTTTTGCTTATCAAGTGAATTTATGCCCTGGACATAAATTAATAGTTTGGTCACTTAAACACAAAGCAAGACCAAAATGGTTAAATGCTTAGTATTAAATACAGCATTTTTTATATAAGTACCAAGTATTTAGCTTATCAACTTCCAACATTTCGAGGAATTAAATTGCTCTTTAAACATTGCGAAATAGATACTTATTTATTTTTTAATTCCAGATTCCAGATTGGTTTCTCAAAAGATTTTTTTTGATTGTCAGTGCATATATGTACATATATGTATTATGTTTCGGGTTTGTTTTATAAACATTTCGGTACTTGTCCATTTGAATCATAAACTCTTTCTTTACTGAACTTTGCGGAGGTCTAACATATAATCGTTCTTATACTGTACAATTGCAAATGTTTAAAGTCTCTTACACCTATGTATTTCTTCAAATGTTTTTTATTTGTTGTTATTGTTTTATTTTTTAAAGATTATTTCTATTATAAAATGTAGACAGTAGAGAAATTCACATATACACTGGTTTATCAGTACGGATATCGTTAGTAACAGTTGAAGTAGTGAACTCATTCCATTTTCATCAATATGTGCGGCCCATTTTATGTTTTAGGTTCAGAATAGTTTGCCATATTTATTTTTCGTTTGCACTAATGTTTTTTCTATGGCATTATAGCGCAAATTAAATTGAATGTTAAGATAGTTTATTTAATGCAAAAGCTTAGAAGATGCTGCACCTAAGAAGTTCAAATTGGCTGTCTCAACTATAATTGATATAGCCAACGAACAGGCTTGAAATATTTTAATTCTGCTGTTTAAGATGTTCTTCAACGTTACATTTAATCTGTTTTAATCAAATTGTATCATTTTACATTAACATTTTACATCAGTTATTTTTAATCGAATGATTCTTTAAAGAATAATATACTTACATTCTGTCAAAGATTTAACAACTTTAAACCACACAAGATTTTGTTCAATTGACTGAATTTTTCGAAACTTTATTTTCTTCCTATTCCGACAATCAATAATGTAAAAGGGCGGGTTCCTCGAAAAAGTATTTACTTCCTGTTGCAAACTTCACGTTATTACATTTTTTGTCGTTTTGCAATTGTACGATTCACCTGACTACATTAAACTTCTTTTTGTTTGTTTACGTTGATCTTGTTTATAACTCACTAACGAAAAAACAGATTGATGAGCATTAAATGATGCATACATGTAATTAACTGATATTTGTTCTTTCTTAGCATTGCATTTAGCTTTTATTTGAATTTCGTGTTAATCAAATTTTTTTCCGATCTATCTTGAGTAACGTTAATGGGTGTTAAGAGAATACAGTTGGTTAAATTATCAAGTGTCTTTGGCTAATTGATAATGATTTTATACATTACAATGAAATGAAATTTTGTGCGGTTGACAACAAATTTTTTTGCAGGTGAGGTGTTTTCAAGCTCTTTTAAGGTTATTAGCGTGCTTTCAAGATTTTAAGGAAAAAAACAGTAGGTGTAGTAAATCATCATTTAGAAATTTGTTAGGTGGGTTAATATTTCAATGGGTTTTATGGGGCCACTTCTACGATTTACCTAATCAAAGAGTTTGTATAGCATATTATATACCATATAAGCATCATAAAATAGTGCAGGAACATGTGTTAATTTACAGAAAAATAAGGTTCTTAAACAATGCCAAATCATAACGATGAATAAAATTAACGTCGTATAGAAAACATAACACACAATCAGATATAAAACGAGCTTGAATACAGAATAAAGTACTAGAGTAAATTTGTATATAGTATGGTATATATTTTTGAGAACAAAATGATTATATTCTATGGATAGAGGTAACATTTGCTATAAATTTTAATTATACAATACGTATTAACATTTCACCGATATGAAGTTAAATTAACCCTATTTTCATTTTCATCTTTTCAAACATATAAATACAGAGTATGATTGTGACCGTATCAAAAGATATGACAAAATTTAAAAATTAAAATTAATTAAAATTCCACGTGATGATTTTGAGAGTAAAATACATTATTTTTAACTTCTTGCACTGTACTCGTATTATAATTTTGCTTTCATAACAGTGTATTTTTAAACATTTTGCTTATTCATTTAAAATATTAAAGTAAGAACCTTGTACTTGTTTGTTAAAAAAGAATACGTAAGAAGGAACCGCCTCAAAAAAGATAAAATGTTGCAGACTCGGTCTGATCGAGTCTGTTCATGGACGGTACTTGTGGTTCAAGATACTGTCGATGACCCAGCCAAAGGCTTAAGCACACGTGAAATTTTGAATTGAGAACCACCACACAATTGGTAGCGTTATTCGTGTCTCCGTTCCCTACAAAGATAATAATTTTCCAAATAATTGAACTCGATTTGATATCTTTCATTTTGTCTATTATTACAATCTCAGCTTGAAATTCTTATTGTTTAGATCTGATGTTGAATAGTTAAACATTTATCGTTATCCATTAAATAGTTCAATCAAATACCCAGGCAAACGTTTAACTTCCTTGTCACACGAAAAACGACGCATTTACATACCTCGTTTTACGAGTTCGATAACACGGATTCAATTAAACAAAACAAAAACTGGGAAAAAAGCCTTGTAAATATACTAATTCATTTAGACATTACCTCACTATAAAGGGGTTAAGATATAACAGACTTCCCATCCCCACACAAAAAGTCAATAAAATGAAATAAAACAAAAATATATACATGTAAATAAAAATAATGATGATAATATTTAAAAAAAAATCTGGATCAACAAGAGTATCAACAAAGACCAAACAGCTATATGAAAAAGCTGGCAAATGTTTAAATTACTTTGTATCACTTTTTTTTTTATTTAATATCTAGTTATTGATTATTTTATTGTCTTTACTTGATCTGGCTTATACCTCATACGAATAGTTGATGGAACAGCAATACAGTATTTGCAAGATTTGTTTTCATCCGATCTTTAAGAATGCATTAAAAGTTGAACATGTTTAATATGAACAAAGTAACATTCAGTCATTTGAAATGTAAATTATCGTAATCTTTTAAAGCGGTCAGATTTTGATGAATAATGAACAGAAAAAGTCTGGAAACCTTATATTATATTGATACACAATAAATACGCAATCTATGATACCTACAATGCTAGTGGTATAGAAATGATGAAGCACAAAGGTACAAAAACGTAAAA